CGGCGCTACTATCGGGGTCGTCAGCTTCGACCTATCATCTGTCAGATCGGGCTCTCAGTAAGGGGCAATGAATGGATGTCGTCAAAGGTCCGAATGAATTTCTATTTGTCATTGCAATTGAATGCTTTGCGCTTTTCTATATAAGTTCAAACACCATGTGCGCCCCCAGATTCCATTTCGTCGTTAGTAGTCGTAGCAGTAGCAGTAGTAGTCGCATCGAATCCCTTCGCCAGCCCTCCCCCCATCATCCATTTACACACATTTCATGGGGTCGGTCGCCTAAAATAGGCAGCATTGCAGAAAGAAGAAGGATACGGGGGTGGATGTCTCTTTCCATCTTCCCATTTCTTTCTTAGTCTCTCAAGACTCATTCACAGGGCTCGTGGGAGAAGAGTAGTTTGGGGTGGCGGGGGCAGAGTACGTCTGGGAAATGGGCTCGCATGCATTGCGATGCGTCTTCCAGTCCGACTTTTGGCAGTTCCGGTCGCAGTAGTAGGCCGCCTTGCAGCGGGAGCAGCGGCGTCTAGCGGGTTGGCCAGAGCAGGTGGTGCAGGCTGGAGAGGGTTAGCAGGGAGGTTGGTGGTCGGGTGTGTGATGGCAAGCATGGCTCCCGGCTGAAGATGGGTTCCTGGGGGTGGTGGGGCAAAAGGACCATTGGGATGGCATTCGGGACAGAAAAGTGGAGTACGCTACTGTCGGAATGCGATGGGAGCCGGGTTCCTGCAGAAGGCCACATGAAAAGAGAGTCGACTTACGTTTGGAGGTAAGGGAGACGTTTAGACTTTCGGTGCTGGCCATGGGGCGGAGTGAATGGAAGAGATCGGCGCGGTTGATGGCTGGCAGGGGGTTTGTGGCCGGTGTGGGTTGTGAGCCAATTGCGCCAGCTGAGGATCGACGTGAGTTGTCTAGGCAAGCCAAGGTTAGTCTGACCGCAAAGAGACAAGAGTCGTGGTAGTAGTAATAGTAGAAGAAGAAGAAGAAGAAGAAGAAGAAGAAGAGAAAAAGGTATTTATTCCAATACCAGAGACTAGAGACGGGCGAGCAAGGAAGAAGTGGTGAGCACTTCCAACACGAGGGATACACATACCACTGAACGCGCTATCCCTTCGCTCCATCATGCCTGGGCCATTGTTCAGACTCCCATCTCCCCTCACCGCCGCACTACTGTCGCCAAGGCTGGTCGTAAACACGTTCAAACAGACGCTTCGTGGTGGCATTTCCTCTGATTTGTATGGCTTCTTCTTCTTCTTCTTCTTCTTCTTCTTCTCTTCCTTCCTTTTCTTTCTTTGGCCGCAGTGTCTGTCTGATTCCTCCGTCTGTCTGATTCCTCCGTCTCTTTTCTTGAATGCGCGCGACTTCTTTGGCAACAAGGACAGCAGCAAGAGAATTGGGAAACGGGGAGGGGGGAGTTGGGAGGAGTATTTGAATGCAAAATGTTCGGTGCAGGTATCAGCAAAGTTTCCTGACAAGCGGTGTGCACGTCGTGGTGCACAGATCAACACTAGCCCCGGAAGTGTTAGGGAGTCTGCAGGAACAGGCTAGAGGCTGACCAGAGCGCTCGCGCAGTCATGTGTCTCAGCCTTGGGTGCGGGATCGCTGCACGCAGATAGGTGAAGGAGGGTGAAATGACTGATCGAGGCGGCCGACAATCCCCTCGTTCTCTCACGCCCTCACCGGCGTTTGCCAAACAACACAGAAACGAAGGGGGAAAAAAACTAAAGAAAACCGGCCGTCTTTTCCAGCGCATAGGTAACGTTGCAGCAAATTACACAGTTCGGTGCGATTGCCTACCGGTACCTCGCCAACAAAGCCGACGACGACGACGATGACGATGACAACCTCTTCTGCTGTCAAGAGTCAAGGCAACGACAACAACAACAACAACAACAACAACAACAACAACAACAACAACAACAACAACAACAACAACAACCAGAAAAAGTATATGAATTGGGTTTGGAAAAAGCATCAAAGCAAACAAGTTAGATGCAGCTAGGTAGGTAGCCCATCAAATCGAAACGGTGAGAAGGCGACCATCTGTGGGGTAGGTAGGCGGCTGGCTTCCGGGTGGAGACACTTTCAACCGCGCGGTAGGCTGGGAGGGATCACGATGAGCAAATGCCCAACCCAACCCTCGCCACCTTACCGGTACTCTCTCCGCCCATGGCAACAACACTCAGCGCCAGAGCAGACGGAGAGAAACACCGTAAGCTAGAGTATGGAGCATGCAGTCTTGCTGAGAATGTTGTCAGCTTAGTGGATATATACACAACTGTCTCGGCACAGCCCCCTCTTCCGCTCTTACCCTCTTCTACCGTACGGTACGGTACGACGACAGTCTACATCCGCTTTCTATCAATCCTGGACTATCAGCCATGAAGATGATTATATGCAGTTACAGTTCTACCGGCCGAGTGCATGCATGCATGCATGCATTCATTCATTCATTCATTCATTCATTCACTCATTCGCAATTCTCCTTTACTTCCTACCTGCACATGAAGTTTGACACAAGACTTTGACTTTGTAAAGACTTTTCTTGACCTTGAAATACAAACTTGCACGCCAAGCACGTGACCCTCCAGAAAACGTTGAACCATCAAGGTGGAAAAAACCACCCAACCGTCTCCGCAAGTGCTGTCCCTACCGCCAATTCAAAGGTACATCCAAATCAAATAAATTTAAAAAATTGGACTCGATGTGCTGGTCGGACAGACAGGTCGGCTGTGTTGGCGAATGCCAACGGTCTGGCCAAACATTGAGTCAGTCACTGAGATCCGCACATGGCGGTCAGCAAGGCCACCAAACGTGTACACCATGTGGCTAGGAAGGTCTTCGGCATCAGTGCGCTCTTCTGCTCTGCTTCTTCGCAATCAATATATTCATACTCTCAACAAAGCTCACCAAAAAACCAGGTCCACTGCGTACCTTCGTGTGCGTATGCTTACGAGTACCTGCGACATTGTCTTAGTTGCCTACTGTGCAGGCCAGGCTCGGCGCAACACTCCCCCTGCTCCACGCATCAATGATCATCACATCTCATCGCTCAGAAAATCTGGCGGAACGTGGTTGCACACATGGTCCGCTGACACAGCCACAACCTGCGGCTGACATCTCCGGCGTACCATGCATTTTGTACACTGTGGAAACACGATATGATGTGATGACTGCGAGGGAGCCGAAGAGCCGATGGTTGGCAACAAGGGTGATATCTGCAGAGCCGCACTAGAAGAAACGAAGACTCCAGCCAAGGCTCGTGATGCTTGTCATGGGGTCGGGCACAGCCCAGAATCACTGCACACACAATGGATGCCTCTTCGTCCGAGATGCGGGGCGAGCCGATGATTCAGTGGACCGTAATGGAGTCCTATTTGACGCCAAGAGACGTTGAGGAGGATGGCGTCGAAAGCTATGCACAGGATTGACTCACCGAAGCCAAAGGGAAGTGACGGCGTGATATTGGAAGTTCCCAAGTACTAGGTAAGTGACGCGTTGCAAGCGTGCCAAAGACAAAAGCCACAGACCGCGGCATGCACATGTCGACGGCAGCGGCTGGCTGCATTTCCCTGTCCAGGCCTGATTGTCGTCCCAGTGCCATTCCAGCTCGGGAGGAAGCGTGAACTGCTGCAAATATGCGGATAGCAAGGAGACGGTCTTGTGGATTCGAATTGACGAATGACATGACTACGTATTCCGGTCAGACAGGAAGAGCAAGGCCCAGCAAGTGTTGCCATGGCTAGCGCATGCGGGCTTGCTGCAGCAGCTTGTCAGGCCAGACTCGAATGGCAATGGGTTGAGTTGTATGAGTCTTCAACGGTGGCCCTTTTGCGCAAACAGTCCAGCGATCTGTGTCGCCCTCTGGGAGAAGGGCGCAGCTGTTGGTGGGTGGTGGGTTTGGTGGTAGCACTCCACTCATCACCAGGTGAGCAAGCAGACAGATGGTGGCCAGAGATTAGTGCAACAGACGTGTTTCTGTGTCCATCCAGACACGCCCTTTTGCGAATGCGTTTGTTGCACCGAACAGCCCACCCCACAAAGTGCAATCATGGTGAATAGTGATTGGCGAACGATGAACCATGGGTCTGTTGGGGGAGATCGGGGGGCCTGTGGCTATGCGCGAGCTTGTGCTTTGTGTTGCGGTGAAAGCTGATTGAAGAGTGAGTTAGCAGCGGAACTCGCTTAAGCCACGACCACACCGTACCATTCCCGATCGGGTGTGGCTGGTGGCTGATGCCTGAAGCTCTGGAGGCAGCAGCGACGCCATCCTCACTCCAACACCTGCGAACTCGACTGCACGCCAGAAAACGGGCCAAATGGTCGAATCACGCGCACCACCCTTTGCCCAGTCACTCCAAGCACTATCCCAATGTGGTGACACGGTCGTCTCTCTCTCTCTCTCTCTCTACTGCCCATGGCCGGACCTTCTCACGTCTCGCGGCTCAGGAGAGACTTGGAGAGAGCTGCTGGCGGCTGCTGGCACACTCCCCAGACGACTCGACACACGCACACCAACACCATCCGCGCAGAGGCTGCCGACACCAATGAAAGCTGCCTTTGGAGACGATGGTGTTGACGGTCCTCTGACTTTCCTGCCTGCGGGCATGCCAAACATGTTTCTAGCGCGCCCATCGCCCCAGCTGGTCAGCCTGGTCGTGATGCTGGGGTGGGGTCTGACCGCCCGCACTCGCCATCACCCTGGACAACGCACTAGACAGGCTCGTACTAGTTGCATAAGCCCCAGCCTACCTAGCTCAGGCTTCCATCCACACCCCGGCATCTAGTCTACATATCGGGGCAGGATATATATTCTTGGACACTCCCCTTCCCTATACCCAGACCCCCCATCTACCCTCTCTGCACACCCAGCTATCCTACACCGTATCATCGACACATCGCCCCTGTCCATTCCGTTCAACTCAAGTTACGCCAACTGCCCTGACTGGAATCAACAAGACTCAACACAACCATCACAGTCACGCTTGCCCGGGATTCACTTGCTTGCTGCCATTCCATATATACTTGGCCATCACGTCACAACCGCTTCCCCAGTCCGCTCTATCCTGAAGACCCGAATAGCATCACCGACCATGCCCGCTCTCTGCACCAACATGCCCACTGTCATACAACCCAAGCCCGCCGCTCCGGCCAAGAAGGAGCGTGTGGTTGGCTTCCACCGAGATCCCGTGGCCTCCATCTCGCGGCCCGTCAACACCGACGAGAGCTGGCCTGCCTATCACTTTGAGATGCACGCCCGCAAGTGTGCCTACTGCCACAGCCCCTATGAAGTCTTCCGCAACCACGACCAACTCTGTGATGTCGGCCACCGTCTAGCTCAAGAAGTGGCCCGCTTCATCTACAACCGTGACGGAGCCACGTACTCGACTGTTGAGGAAGACAACAAAATCGTTCGTGTCGAGCTCCCAGCCGGCTACATCGAGGTCGCTGGTCTTCTCAAGGCCATCGAGCGTAGCCTCCGCTCCCGGTCACGCAGATCATTCGTCTCCATGGACCGCAGCTACTACATCGCTCCCCGCTCCCCTCCCACCATCCCGCAACGAAGTCGGTCGGTCAAGGTCGAGCAGGAGCCCAAGATCAGATCCAAGGCATCACGGCCACGATCTGGCGAAATCGTCGACTGGCCAGAGTCCCAACCCAAGCCAAAGCGAGCCCTTACCGAGATCAGCAACACGGCCGGCTCCAAGCGTGGCTCTCTATACGAGGAGGACCTTGCCAAGCAGCGACGCAACGCAAAGCACTACTCCGTCGAGGTCCGCGAGCCCACCCGCGACTACCGCGTATCCGACTACTACCGATGAATGAAGCCTTGAACACTCTTTGTGCTACACGACTACAACAACTGCCAACACCAACACCAAAACCAACACCGACCCAACTGCCAAACCACTCGCCCCACCGTCACGATACACGCTTGCTGTAGAGGCAACGCACCAACATGCTGCAGTCCTCTAGCTTGAACGACAGTTGACCCTTCCAGGTCCTTGCTTGCTTTGCTTCACAAAGAGCTTTGCGCTGCTGTTTTATGTCAGGGTGGTCATACAGAATGGACACTCTGGGTTCTGGGAAAGAATGGGAACAGGGATTTATAACTCCACCCCTCAGAAGGGGGGGCGTCGAGAAGGGAAGGATGATGGGAAGGATTACGAATGGAATGAGAAACACGTGCTGACGATGACGTCGTATGGTTGTTTACCTTGGGGCTAGCATGGTATTAGTAATGAATAAATAGCTCGGAGCTTCACCATCAATGTCCAGTATGAACTTGCCCTTGACCGTGATGTCCCATCAGAAATACTCACTCCATCACCATCTCCTTCCCGCTACCACTCGCTGGTCTGCTCGCCCACTCTCACCCACCCTCGCACTCTTCCCCAGCCCCAGCCCAAAACACAACACCCACAAACCCCGTTGCCCCTCCAACTCCCCCAAGAATGCACACACACACACACACACAAGATACCACCACCCACCCCCCACAAAGTCGCACAAAGACTTTGACTCCCAATCTGAAACACAACACACACCCCCGACCTGGGCCTGCTGCACTGTGGTTGGATTGGGCCAATCAGCGGCGTTGACGGCGGGGTCTGCTGATGCGGGTTGGGATGGGGTGAGATGGATCATGGGAGTGCTCATGTGCACTTTGTTATGCGATGCGATGTTGAGGGAGGGAGGGATGGGTGATGGGTGTGTGTTTTTGGTGTAGAGATTGTGGTGTTCGTTGGATACGGAGGAGGGGGGAGAGTTTTGGGTAGATACAGTACAAGTAGAGTATAGTACTAAATCATCTTGACAATGCCCAATTGCACGCTGAAGATGTATTTTCACGTTCTGCACTCGATAGTATCATGATTAGAATATAGTATGGTAGCATATGTAACATACCGGTACATCTTCCCCACCAAACCAACACAACACCAGAAACCACAAAAACAACCCCTACCCCGCCCATAGCCACCATCATCACCACCCTCCCAACCAGTCCCCATCCCACCATCCCTGTTCTGTTCATTTACCAGCCTTGGTATTATAGCTAGCCAGGTTTTTAGTACCATGTTTCTTCTTCCGCAAGGGCGCTGGTGAGGTAAGGCTTGGTGAGCGAATGACAGCTGGGGGGGTGCGGGGCGGGGTTGGCGTTGAGATAAGGGTGGTTTGGCAGGGTTTGCTGTCTTGGGAGGATGTCATTGGGGAAGGGGGAGGGGAGGGGCGGAACGGGGGGGGTGGAAGTGGGATGGGGTGGTGAGATTGTGGTGGGAGGATGGGGAGATTGGAATAGTATGTGTATGCGTGTGGTTTGGGTGGGTTTTTTCTGTGGGGGGGGGGGGGGGGGAATTTTTTGGGTTGTGTGTGGAAAGCCCTTTTAATGTACTTGATTAAAAAGGCCCAATCCTGTCTTTAAATTCCTCTGCTTCTCACCCAAACACAGACGGAATCTCACAAGAACAAAATAAAACATTGACCCAATTCACGCCCTCTGCCCTCATCATCCACCTTGCGCAACGACAATGCAACTACTACCACTGTGTTCAGGATACCCAAGAACGCCATCAAAGATCTACAACCCACTACTCCACGACTCGCGCTATCGAACACGTCGACCCGTTCGCCCAGGGATACCGTGGTTGGCAGAATGATATCCCTTGCTCGTCCCCTTCCCAAGAAAAGAATGTCGCAATTTCAAGAGTGATCGGCAAAGCAACACACCAGAAGCCTCACGATGCCCAAGTCCAGTTTGCGCGTCTCTTTTTCTCCATGGACACGGGGGGATCGGACTCCTAGGCCGGAGAGATATAGTACCGACTTGTATTCTTACATTCGTGTTGCGACTGGCGTACCGGGGCGAGAGTGAACTATTGAGTGGCAAGATTGACTATGTATACCACTGGGACAGGGCAGATGGGAAGGGCGAAGGGGAGGTGATGTAAGACTGCAGTAATGTTGATGAGCAGGTTCAAGTAAGTGAGGCAAGCGTTTGCCGATTGTTGTTCATGACCGGGGGGCCAATCTCGCAAAGGTGATCTCAGCTGCCCCCGCCAGTACTACACTACAGCCCGCCCCCCTCAACCCCAATCTCGCCTTTGTTGTATTGTAGGGACGACGAGTTCTTCGATGAAGTGATGTCCCGACGACCGAGGATGCACCGGGATGGCTTGTCGCATTCGCTCACATCTCCCCGGTCAGCCGTCAGCTTGTCACTCGTCTTTTGCCAGGACTTCGTCTCCAGCTCTTGCAGACAGGCTACCTAGATTCTCGACAGAAGCTCTCTCAACACCACACAGGTGACCTCGCTTCCGGTAAATGTCGTGACAGGATCGCATGTTCGCAAAGGTCGAGACTCGAGAGTCGTCCTCCACCGTAGCAAAGAGTGTTTGACAAGTTGCCAAAACGACGCCAGCGTGTACTCTATGCTCGGTACAGTACTCTTACTCTGGAATGGGCACCGGCGCAGCTTCACCGACTGTCCATGACCGGTCTATTCAGCGTATTGGTACACTAGCCTATGCAGCTTGCATGCATTGGCAGCCTCACCGGAACCGATCATTTACCCAGACCGACACTGACAGAGGTAATCAATAACCTCCACGTCCGGAGCTCGACCGTCGGACTTCTCCGCCTCTGGCCGTGGTGAAAGTGCGTGCGCAATCGCCAACACACCCATCCGCTCACGTGAGTCTCCACCACCGCACCGCTCTGCTGCCAATGCCAGCGTGTCCACTCCACCACGCCTGTACATTCGTACCTGATCGTCCAATCTCCCCACTTCACCTTCTTCTAGGTCCTTTCCCCACATGCGCTGCAGACTACACGCTATCGCTTCCGGTCATGATCCATCCTCGCCGTGGACAACTCACTCGCTAGCCAGGACCAGCAGCCCTGCAACCCAAAGTCCGCGTCGCCCATGGCCTATGATCCGGTTGCGTGAGCGTGCTCGTTCAGGGCTGTGCCTGTTTCACAATCTGGCAGAAAAATAAAACTACATTGGCCAGTGAGCCGATGAACATGTTTGCGACTCTGTGGGTATGATGTTGCGCTCTGCTGCGGGAAGGGAAAAAGGTGAGGCGCAGCGCAGGGCTGGGTGAACGCCTCGTCAATGCACAGGATCGTCGTTTGTATTCTACTCGTACTCATGTCACGGCAAGATGGGGTGGCTGAGCAATACTTCCACGGAAGCGACGTAGGAAATCGATGTCACAATCAAGCCACGACTTCTACCTCCCAACATGCTCACGCAAATGCTTAGACTTTGCAGTGTGGAGATGAAAACTTTGGGGGCCGGTGGTTGGCAACATGGAGCGCTAACAGCAGCCCTATAGGCTCCCATGAGCTCAAAATAGCAGTCGTGTGGTTTCAGGCGAGCGTATAACTGCGCCGCCTTCAGATCGGTTTCGTCTGTCGCGACAATCGACTAATCACAGAATGCTTTTCTGCCAGACATGGGTTCAGGTATACTTGGACAGATACTGCCTCGGCGACATGATGATGGTGGGCCTCGATGAATGTACACTTCCATATCGTAGTGGCCTAAGAAGCACAGATCTGAGCTATACATAGGTATCCGATTGAGCATCAATCCCAGATTTCAATTCACCCTCTCCCAAAAAAGCCTGCAAAGCTAGCCACATGGGTAGTAATCCGCGAGGCGCCAAACAAATAACCATCTCATCTGTATCCCCCCTTTCCCCCTTCCCAACCCCCGAACCCCAAAGCCCCCAAACCCTACATTCAGCATTCAAACTCCCCCCAATCCATCCCTCCAAACCGCCATACTACCCTACTGCCCCGTCTCCCCAACCCACCCATCCCCGACCCCCCTCATCCACTGCACACCCACCAACTCCATACCCTTCTCCTGCACAACCCTCTCCGCCCTAAAACTCCTCCGATCCACAAACTCCTCGCCCCCAACATCCCCCACCTCCAACCCCTTCCCCCCACACTCCTTGAACAGCAAAAACAAATACCGATGCGGCCCACTGTCATCCTTGGGTCCAGGCGCAAGATACGGCGTCACCGTCCTCCCCTTGGCAATCACATCCGCCCCCGTCTCCTCCTCCGCCGCCGAACCCGGAATATTCGACACGATCCAGTGTCGCCAGTAACTGTATTTCGGGTCGTCGGGCGTCGGCGCATCCGGGTCGATTTGCATAAATGTGAAGCTGGTTTCGTTGCCGGCGGCGGCGGGTGTAGCACTCAGTGGCGATAGCGTGATGAGCGGTTGCTCTTTGACTTGGCTTACGCGTGCGAGGTCACCGTTTTGCGGCGTCAGGTTTGGGAAGCGGACGGTGAGGTTGTAGGTTGGGCAAAAGGTGTCTGGGATGATGGGGGAGGGGAGGAGGTTTGCTGATTTGAGGGAGGCGAGGAGGGCGGTTAGGGTTGTGGTTGCCATTTTTGCAGAGGGCATTTGTTGGCGTTTGGGGGGGGGTGTGGCTTTTTTTTTTCAATTCTGATTCTCAAGGTAAAGTTTTGTTGTTGTTGTTTTGGTCGAGTTGGTACGGGCAGTTTGTTGGTTCCTCTTTTTTTTTTCAAAAGGCTTGAAGCTGGCCTTCTTGAATGGTTGGCTGTAGGCGGTGGAATGCTCGTGATTGGTGGGAAATCATAGAGGGCGTTGAAGAGGGTCTTGGCTTGGCTGCGCTGGATGGGGTTTGGGTTCGGTGGGATATCTTTCCAGAGTGGAGCGTGTATAGAAAGTAAAGTGCAATTGTGGACTGGGAGAATGAAATGGGAGAATATCAGTTGTGTCCATGAGGAGGGGTAGGATTGCTTGACTAATAGTGTCGGTGTAAACATGAGTTACCTGGAGTCAAGGCGGAGACACCAAATACAACTCCATCATCGCTCATGTCTAAATGGTGATTGTTCGTCGGCCTGTCTTGGCTAATAGTAATCTTCATGTTCGTGGTGATCACAGCACATTGTAACCAACACATACATATATCCACACCAAGCCCACCCACTCTCCTCAAACAACCTCCTTAATCCTAACCCTCAACCCATCCTTGGGCTTCGAAGTAATCCCGCCCTGAATCTTCAACTCATATCCCTCATCCTCAAACTCCATCTCACACCTCCCCACCAAACCCGCGACCAAGCACGCAAACTCCGCCTTTGCAAACTCCCTCCCTATGCAACTCCGCGGCCCGTGCAAGAACGTCGTGACCGCATAATTACTCTCTGCGCCCCCAGTATTGGCTTTTCCGGGTCCAAGCCAGCGCTCAGGGTTAAACGATCGCGCGTCTGGGCCCCAGAGATGCGTGGATGTGTTGATGGCCCAGGGACAAATAACGAGGGTTGTGCCGGCGGGGATGAAGTGTGACTGTATTGTTGTGTCCAGCGTTGTTTCGCGGATTGTAATGGGCACAGGGGGGAAAACGCGAAGGGTCTCCTGTAGTACCGCGTTCAGGTAGGGAAGTCGATCGATTTCAGTGGAAGAAAATGATGCATTGCTGTCGTGTAGAGCGGGTAGCTGGGTGCGTACTTCATCGCGGAGTCTAGACTGCACGTCTGGATATCGACATAGACAGTATACAGCCCAAGTCAAGGCCGAGGCTGTGGTTTCGTGGCCTGCAGCGAGAAACGTCATGAGCTGGTTCACTAGTTCTTCGTCGCTGAAGCCGCCGGAGGAGAGGGCGACGGATAGGATGTCCGTGTCTGTTTCTTTCACTTCGCCCTTCTCTAGTTTTGCTCGCTTCTCCTTGATCAGATCCCTGGCTAGTTTCTTGATCGTGTCGACGGCGTTGCCAATCTCGTCGTTTCGTTTGAGGGGCAGCTTAACAGCGACCCAGTGCGGCAGCAGATTGAGCAATAACTGCACAATGTGCGCGCCGCGGTTCCCTGAGAAGATCTTACGGTAAACTTTGTTGAGTTCGTTGTCGGGGTCAGAGAGGGAGTCGAAGTCTCTACCCATTCCTGCGAGGCCGATGATGTCGAGGGTTGCACGGGAGGCCCAGTCGCAGATTTCTATTACAGAGTCGCCCTCTGGGTTGCTTTTGACAGAAGAAAGCATCTGGTCGGCCATTTCTTGTGATTTATCCCAGAAAGTCTGATACAGGTCCTTGACATGGCGGAAGGCGAAGGCTGGCATTAGTAGTTTTCGTTGTCTCTGATATCACACATGCTTTTAGCACTCATTTCCATTCCCAAGAAAAATCTCCCGATCCGACTTGTACCAACATCTGCCACAACTAAGCATAAGAAAGGAATAGACATACCTTGTGTTCATCACCCTCTGCCAACAAGATCCCCACTCCCAGCACCCTCCCAAGTCCTTCTCTAACCCTCGCTGGTTTGACAAAGTCATAATTCCTCTGTACAAGCACCTCGCCCAGCGCCTTGGGACTGGTGATTAGCACACGCGACTCGTTGAACAACCAGCGGTAGTAAATTAGACCATCATTGGGCACAGCGTCAATCCAGTCGCGGTGTGGTTCACCTGTGGGATCGGCCAAGATGCGGGGAAAGTGGCCCAGGAGAATGCCTCCGTTCTATTTCTTGCTTTAGTTGTCGTCCCGCACAAACCCAAAAGCCATGACGTAGAGTTTGTGGGAGTTGTTTACGGGATTAGGGAAATTGGGATTAGGTCGAATATCGTGTTGTCTATTATATGGATGGTGATGTTTGCGCGGATGATAGACGTACCGGTGCCTGCGGCAACCCCCTCAACGGACTCAAGAACAAGGGGTACACAATGATGTTGTAGACGCACTTCACTGCATACTGTATAAACCACAGCAGTACCACATTACCTACATACCCCTTCGCTACCATCAACACCGGCGCATAGCGAAATGTAAAAAACGTAGTCGCAATTGATGACAGTAGAAGCGCGCGTTTTGATGACATCATCATGCTGTCTACCTAACTGTTCGACAGTACCGGTACAGGGCCAACAGCAACACGAGTTCGTGAAGAGGAAAAGTGAGTGTGAAGCAATGTTCTGTGGGCACATGAGTGCTTATGGACATCTAACTTATTTCCTCGCTTGTCCACTTGTTCCATACACGCGTCGTTTCAAGCCTTCAAGGCACCAACGCGACGCTATTAGCGCTGTAGCCCGTGCAGCCTCCGTCGGGGGCGGTGCAAGTATCGTCCCGTTCGCTATCCGCTTACCACATTAGTATCGTGAATGAAAGGCGGACGAAATCTCTACCAGTAAAATCGACATGGAATTTGCTTATTGTGCCGGTGATATCTTGCATAGTCTCAGAAATTGAATAAATAGTATCGACAAGGACCATGAAGACCAGGTAGTATAAAGTCTAGGTTCTCACATCCACTCACACAATCTCCCATTAGTAACTTGCGCTTAGACGCCTTCGAATTCGCTTCTTAATCATCTCTTCTAGTTAGGCTTCAAGAATTAATTCAGCCTGTAAACTCGAGGCCGACACTCACCTCCCCTTGGTCCGAAGAAAAGCTGGACGGTATCATATAGACTTAATACTATATGTCTGGGCACAGTCAGCTTCCTGCACAGTGATGGCCTGCCTAATGAATGTCAGCATGCACACATGACTACTCCCCGATTCTGATCCCATCACGGCAACCTCCACCAATATCTAGCATTTTTTGACTCTTTTTGTTGTGAACATCAACCACTGTTCCATCCTAGTCCGTGCCATGTTTATCGCCGCCGTCTTTTCTCGTTTGTCTGGAACGTCCTTGCTGTTCTACTATTTTTCGGTTGGAGTTTGACTCGAACTTGATTGCTCCGCACCAACGAAAATGACGCGGACCGTGGACATGCGTGTTTTTGTTGTTCACTACCAGGAGCAGACTTCTCTCCAATCTCGGGGCCTAGTATTTTCGGGTGCTTCAGGCTGAGAGAACATAACTGTCACTGACTTCAAACTCCACATCCATTGCTGCTAGATGTTTTCCTAACATATCTCGTGCCGTGGACAATAGGAAGCGAAAATTGAAATATGAGCTGTTTAACCTGCTTCGTGACATACCTTTTCTATGAGTAAAAAGATAATAGACTGGGATTATATAGTTCTTAACCAAAACAAAAGAATGAGTGATCTTGTACTGATATGGCACTTTTGTCGATGATAGCCCAGAACGGTCCAAATTCCAGATGAAAATAGCGCTAGACGCCTCAGGCCAGAACTTAGCCGTACCCTGTGTGCTGTTCAAAGAAGTAAGACTTTGAAGTATTAGAGATTCTTGTAATAATATTACGTATGGAGTTCAAGTAGAAAAGTCACTGTATTCAGTTCTCCTAACTTCCTATCCAGTGCCAATTTCAAGCCGCTTTGAGAGCGCAAAAACCCGCAAAGAATCACCTACTAGCACTGAATTTGATGAATTCCTCCTCATCAATATTAATTCTCAGAAAACACCTAGCCTGAAATTTTGGCAAGATGTCGCATGAAGATCTTAAGTGACTCCATGAGCAGCAACCAAGTGCCTCTCGTAGGTAGTTCCCTTAAATTCGCCACATTTTCCCCCTCCCAGTATGCGAGCTCAGCAATAGAGTGTCGCTGATCAATTTTTTAACGACTATTGCCGAGACAGGGGTTATAACTGTAGAATCTTAAGTTTTGATATTACAGTGTATTAGGCATATAAAACAGTGAAAATTTGTCTTGGAGACTGCCCGCTCAGCTATCGCCCAAGTCTAAACCTTGTGTAACGGGAAGCGGCGATATGACATCGATAGTGAAGGGACTATAGAGATGAACTGGTTTATCCTGTTGGTTGAGACACAACGGAGTGATTAGGTAGTATGAATAGAACATTTGTTCAGGATCCATTTTACTAGTAACTCGAAGGGCCGACTACATTTATAATCCAATCTAAGCAAAAAATATAGGAATAAAACGACAGAGAGCGAACATTCAGACCAACTGAATACTTACGCATGCATGCATCAAAAATACTTGGGACTGTTTGTCAGCGCGCTAATATACATAAAACGTACGACGGGCCTCACGCAGAAAACGACATTGGGTTCTCATAAGGCCACAAAGCTGATGGTTCAAACAGGACCTATTTTGCACTTGGTATCGTTTCTCCTTTCATCAACCTGTCTGTTAGGTACCTAAGGCCTATCCGCTGACACTACCTCTTGCCCACGACGTCACATGAAATGCTTATCACCAGCCATCGCTACCCCACAAACTATTCTAGACGCCTATTCGGAAATATAGTTCATGAGGTAGGAGGAAGATCTGCCATACCCATTACACTGAGCGGCAAGACGCAGGAGCGAGGATGATAGACAACGTATTTCGGCCACTCAGCTCAGGAGTTGAAAGCCGGCTATACACTTCAGTGACTGATGTGAAAGACGAGAGACATGATATTCATACGAGCATACAGCCTCGTAGTTCAAATTGTACTTTTTCCCATGTGCTCTACATACAGACATCTGCGAGTAAACCATTAACGTGTTTTCCGCATCACACTTCGATTTGTTCAGAGTTCGAACGAGTGTTCAAACTGCACTGCGCCATCACGATTGTGTTCAACATCACGATTGTATTCAACATCACGATTGTATTCAACTAGCTCTTGTTCGCTTTGGCAATATTTAAGGTGTTATCAGTAGTATTATAGGCAACGAAGATTATCTCACAATGTTCAACCACCCATTTCCTAGTTTTAAGGTATCATCCTGTAGGTATACAACTTGGACTGCGTCACAGCATGTATTCTTATTTTCATCTTCTGCGGAAAGCCTGGACGCATAATCGCTGTATAGATTACTCTAGTTTAGATAATTGTAAGGTATCTTACAAGCTACTCGGTCTTTTGTTAAGGCTCACAGCAGACACAAGTTGGGGGTGTCCGATAAGCTAGCACCACAGATGATGATCGCGCGTTTTCTCGCAGGCTTTGGGACGGCCATCCAAAAGTCGACCGTCCCTGTACAGTGTACTAGTACGAATCTTGGGAAGCTAACAAATGAGACTGACTTGTTCCTCCAGAGCCATTAATTGTAGGGGTTTAGTATTGAACTGGCTTATTAATTTGACTACGGTATCATTGAAAGAAATACTGACGTGATCTATTCATTGATATTCGTGGCGTAGAGATGCCTTCCAGCGCGGGTTCTATAGCCTGGCGACACTCTATCGCATGACAGGTCATCTTTGCGATCCGCCTCATCATTGTGGGGTTTTAACTGCCCAATTCACCACGCTACCTCTATGCCCATGGTCCACATGAGGAGGCGCTTCGAATACGTTGTGAAGCGGGTAAGTTCCAGAGATTGAGGAAAAGAAGTGCAAAGTTCTTAGTGTACTGAAGATTGAGCAGGAACACGGGGAATGATAGTGGAGTCAATTGCTGAAAAGAGACCCGGTTCAAACTGGGCGAAGAGTTCCGCTTGCGTACGGAGCACATTTTATGAATCAGATGGCCAGAATCAATGTGGTATAACCTCAGTGCTTCACATCAACATGGTGGTTATCGCAAACTCTTTCTCCGTTCTTGGGAGGCATCATCAACCTCGCGTTCTTCCCGGGCTCGTTGTTTCTGACCTTCACGCTCGATCGGACTGGACGCCTTAAGCCAACGGTGTAGAGTTGTTTTGGCTGTGGCTTGCCAATGATACTTATCGCCATCCTCTTGATCTTTTAGTCCCAATGCGGAGCTATCGCCAATGTCGCTGCTTCAGTAAGTGTGGCCTTCTTCACTGTAAGTCGTCTCTTCGTGATGCAATTTATGCGCCTGACAAGCCCACTTAGTATATGCGATCATTTGGCATAAACATGAACTGCAATCCTGGGGTCATACGTCTCTGAGATTCTGCCCCTTCATGTGCACAGAAAGGGAACAGCAGTCGGGATTAGCGCCAATTGGATCTTCAACTTTCTTGTGGGCATGGCTAGACCCATACTATTCAACAGTCTAGCCTGGAAGGGCTATCTAATCTTTATGTGTCTAAACTTCTCGTTCGTACCTCTGATCGTACCGGTAAATTTCTATTGGCTTAATGTGTTACTTTGTTGCGACGATGCTGGCACTTCTGAAGTTCTTCTGCTGCCCAGAAATTGCAAACCCGACTGTTCAACAAGTAGGCTGGTTTTTCTATGAGATTCATGGTGTGAGGCGAAGTCGGGGGGTCGCAAAGCATGGCTGGGACGCAAGCAGAAAGCAAAGGGAATGAAACCAGCGGCAGTCATGGAGACAGGCGGCTCTTCCAGCAACATGAAGAATGAATCAGAGAGAAAGGAGCAAAATATACCTTGATTGCAGATGGTATTTTCCTTGATTCAAAGGTGTCACTTAGCGCTTTGTCTTCTGCGATTGTTTTGCCAGAGCTTGTTGGGGATGCTGGCGGCTTAACATGGCATTGAGATAGGTCTTCTGTGATGTGATAGGTTCGATCACTAGCTTCGCCCGCAGATAATGTATCACCATTTACGATCCTACAACGCCTGCAATGTCTTGAGCGAGCCCATCCATTGTACAAACCAAGCCATTTCCAGGATTGCGACAGCCTATTGTAGGTGTGTGATGATGCCGAGTTGTGGTCTAAACGCGGGCGTAACGAAGCCAGGGGGAACGGTTATTGTTAATGTCTACAAGAAATGGTTCAAGCCTTGGTCAAAGTAGATTTTGTGCATGTTTTGATGCTTCTATTGGCGCGGGAGATGCACCATGTGCGTTCCAAACATGCAGACAATATACGGGAGCGCTATGGAGGCAAGATTGATCGAATGAGGCAAGGCGGCTATGCGCAAGCCTTTGAGCCACGGCGAGACACGCTTAATCGGTGTATCCAATGTGCTCTACGTATAACAGTAGCATACCAGTTGAATCATAGTCGCCCGTTTCTCCATCCAGGGAACTGTGGAGGAGCAGGATGCTCAGCGCAGCCGAAAGCGACATCTGCCACTCTGATTGGTTCGACTGGTGCCTGAGATGTGTACCAGCTATGCAAGGAATGGTGGCCTGCTATCCAATACATCCAGAATACTACTGCAGCTTCCAGCAATCTTCGATGTCGTTTACCAAGCTCGTGACAGGTATTTCGACCTTCTCGAATAGACGAACTGGTTTATTCACAACCGCTCGGACTTGGGCGGCCTCATCTGTCCACTGAAGATGCATTACTGGGTGAAATGCGCAGGTGGTACACAAGCGTCAAGTCCCTGTATCCCATGAGCGCTTAGACTACTCACTGGAAGGCGAGCAATCATGGTCACTCAAAAGGCGGGCAATCCCACACCGTTTGGAGGTGACCTGCGGAGGTCAAGTTCAGGACGCGACAGAAGCGACACGCCTCCGAGGCAGCACGGATACGGGAGAGCCGGCAGGGCGATATTTGTCTAGAGGAACGGTCCCAGAGGCTGTTGCAGGACTTTCAGTCGAACAACGATCGGCCGCTTTTCAGACCACTCAGCGTTCGCCACGTAGGTGGGCAGTTACCAACATCATTCCTAGCTCTTGAAACTGATCTGCCAGTACACTTGACAGTTTTCACTCTTATTAGAACTTCCACTATAATGTGTCGAGTCAACGAAGATGATACCGAAGTGCGACCCTCAAGAGAAGCGCGATGCGACACAAGGAGCACGGCATTGACGACGAGAATGCATGCGGCCTGAAAGAGCGTACGAAGGATAGGGTAACTGTTCGAAGCCGTCTCCGTAGGGCCATCGCGCTCTTTTAAGATCACCCGCGGGGCCTTCGGGTTCTGTCCTCACTCCCCTCCCTCGTCGCCATAGTGAGTGAACGGTGGATGGCGCAAGGAGCGCAGCTGGAAGCACCCAAGTTCATGCTGACACTTTGCATAGACTCACAAAGCAAGAAACAAGATTCACGCGCACGCCTCCAGAGAAAACGAAGATGGACGTACATATGAGGATCATGAGAATAAGGTGACCTCAGGCACCGCAAATAAGGAGGGGCTGGGGCGGCGGCACTGTTCGGCTTCGCCCGTCGACCTTGCCGATTACGGCCTTAGTCGGTCACGTGAAGATATGGGGCTGAGAAATTACCCCTCCCGCACGTCTTCCATACTCTTCAACACCCACGGCGCCCACCCTCAGGTCATCGTACACGTCTCTATGAGGAGAACTGTTCGTTGCCGCTCACCAGCACAAGTCTCGATATTGTTCGCGTCATCAAGGTCTCCCGGCTGCCTGCCTCGACGGCCCGTGCGTAATCAGTCCCCAATTCTATTTGCGGCTACGCGACTTCACGGATTGGACAGCTTCGGACCCCATTTCACGTAGAGCGGCTATCGTGGACATTGCCAAATCATACGGCCAATCAGATAAAACTAAAGTTTTTCATTGCATCGTTAACGCCAAGGGGCTCAGGTATAGAAAAGAAGCGATTGTCAGAGGAAACGCCCGGCCTACCCCTTCCCGCCATTCGTTGCTCGCCGTCAGCACTCACTGCGTCAATCGTCCTCCCAACACCGAAAATGAATGGTCTCAATCTGAAAAATAGAATCCGAGACACTGTACTTGAAACCGATGACCAGACGCCCGCGCCATGTCTGGACTAACTTAGTAGATCTGTTGCAGTCTGCGACTCCGCTCGCAACCAAGCTCATAGATCTCTCCGTCCAGGCCGCGAATCAGCTCGTATGCTTTGCCGATGGAGGCACCAAACTTGTGTGGTTCGCGCTCCCACCGCGCAATCCTCTCGACTTCGGCGGCCCGACGGCGCATTTTTGTTTCGATCTTCTCGCAAAGCTTGCACTTGGTGCCCGTAGGGATGGTTTGCATGATAAGCTTCATGCCACAGGTTTCGCCAATTCGGTATTCCTTGGCACAGTGTTGTCGGAAGTGACCCCACTTCCAATCGCCACAGGCAAAGCGGTGCTGGTCGTAGAAGCACATGTTTCAGGCTGTAAGAGTTGGGAAGTTTTGGTGTCTGGCTGTTTGTTAGTCGTTCCGCTCAATCGCTTGGACAGCACGTTTCCCCAGCATACCTGATGCGGCGCGGTTCTAACACTGGGTATCCACGACTGGGTCAGCGACTGTGGAAACCGGCTCCGTTCGCTCAAGGCCTCTTTCAGTATCGATGGTCACAACGCACAAGATGGTTGGATGACAGGCAACGATATAGTGGTCGTCGATGTCGATGAACGAGGAAGAGCTAGCGCAAGGGGTATCGTGTAAGAGAAGATGAAGATTATATGGATTGACTTGACAATTACTGGAAGCTGAGCTTGTCTTGAGCGTGCTGAGGAATTGTCCTGGCGGCAGCATCACTGCTATTTATCTCTCGAGATGTAGGGATGTTGCCTTTGTCGACGACTGCCTGTCCTTCCCGAATCCGTCCCGCCGTCAGACCACAACCTGTTGCCATGGCTCATCCTTGAGTCGAGGTGGTGACACCCCACCTGGCCGCGTCCAACTACATTGCTACGATCCACAGATGACTTTCATTCTGACGCTAAAGCAATGCGGAGACGGGCTGCAATGGCACCCTAGGCCGTGCCGGCGTTTCCAGGTGCAGAAAGTTATCACATCTGCTAAGGGATCAACGGGTCGTGGCTTTCTGAACCTCGTCGACCTATGTCTGGGCTTGAAAACCCCTCAGATTCCTAGTCGGTGTGTCTCATCTGGCGCCTAGGGTGGTGGTTGTTGAGATTTTCGATCATTGCGGACCTTTGATACGGTATGGAGTTGAGGATATGTGAAGCGAAGTACGATCACGTGCCGCACGTTCAATGCTGAACAACCGTTCGTTTCACGGTATTGCCCCACCTTGGGCGAACCATTGGTCAATGACTGTTCCCATTCCGAACTCTTCAGTGTTTCGCAACGCTCGAGTACACAGACCAAGCCCTCGCACAATCGTCCATCTCTCAGGTCCTTGGCAGGCAATGATCGGTTGTTGCGTGTGCATTGACCGAGGCCAGTGTGGCCTGCTTATCCTTTCTGTTGGTTGGTTGTCCTGCTCTCATTTCAGCTGTCCAACATGCATTGTGTTCATACACTTCCAGGGTCTGTCGGCTCGTATTTCCTCGGCAAGAGACGCTCATCTGCCAGTGACACTAGCTAATCAATTTGTGTAGCATCGCTCAGCTTGACCGATGGGCTTCTGCGCCCTCTCGCCTCCACTCAACGTCGCAGCCATCCCTCTTGGCCGACACCGAAGATGCCGGTCTCTTCTCGTGCAGGTTGGAGGCATCGTCGGCCAGTCACCTTATCTGCTCATGCTGCAAGAACCGGTCTTGGGCACCCCCTCCGGCCCTTCACTCCCGCCGCTTGATTGGAAGGCTAGTCATCAGCGCATGCATATTGCAATCCGCCGTCAGTCCTCTTCCTTCAGCTGATCAGTGGCTCCACTCAACGGTTGGCTTTTCCCGCGCCCGGCCTATCGTTAGCATGCTAGGCCATGCACGCTGACAGGCATGTCTCTTTTAGATGACAAGATGGCGTGAAGTTTATGCGGAACTTAGCCCGCCATTGCGTATCGAGACAATGTCTGGACCCCGGGCAGACACTAGAACCGGCCAAAGTATGCCCCATCGGAGATCCTCTGACGTGGCGAGCGCGGTTTGGTTGATTGCAGAGGAGGCCATATCCCGGCTGGCCTTGAGCCATCAGTCATGGCGTGGACGAAAAGGCGTGGATTAGCTGCCGCCATGGTTCCGCGTCATCCATGTGGAATCCATAGCCTCCCATCTACGGAGAAGGGGTGAGTGAAGGGCAAGAGAATGGGTTGGTTGAACCGTGTTTACCGGTGAGACCGGTGGAATGGAATCAGAGGGGCAGTTTATTTTGTGACTACATGGCCAATGTAATTCCAAGTCGGTGGCAAAGGCGTGCAGCCTTGTTGCCGTCCGTCTTTTTTTTTTTTTTTTTGCATTGAAAGCAGTCTGCCTTGCCATGAGATGAGATGACAGAAATTGATATTGCCGAGAGCCATTGGTAGGTTATGAGTAGATTGGGCATGCTATGCACTCTGCTGCGGAGTGAGTAGGTGTAGGGAGGGGGGGAGGGCAAAGGAGAGGATTGCAGAAGAAAAAAAGAGGGAGGGAAAAGGAGGGGCGGGTGTTGTTGACGTTGGGTCCGAAAGAGGGCTTCGCGATTGTGCAGCGAGCCAGACGGATGGAGCGGCCATGAAGGTAAACAGCACGAGTGCGGCCCTATCTGCGACCTGGCCTGCCACCCTTGCCCTTGGTTGGTTTGCCACGGAGTGAATCTGACGCTGATTTCCTGCCCTCGTTTCGTCCTGTCACGCCCAATGCATTCATTCAGCCCAGGCCGACGGGGGTTCACAGAGGGAAGCGGATACAAACCATGACCACGGTGACCGTTTTTCCCACCGTGTTGAGGTAGGGTGGTGGATGGGAGAGGTTGTGGGATTTGGACACCCACCAGCCGGCCTAT